TTCTGTTGCCATTTCATATGGTTGAGTAGAGATTTAACTACTATCTTCCAGAAGAAGAAAACCACAGTGCACTAATGAATAAGACGCAGGAGGAGCATGCATGCCTGTAAGAGAAGCAAGACTGAGCACCTTTGTTTCAACAGTGTTGGTACAATGTACATTCCACAGTGCCCATTCTACTGAGAACTCAGCATTAAATGGAAGCCTTAGACTGTTTGGATTGAAGATAAATCTGGCTGCTGTTGCTTGTTTGGCAGCCTGTGCAAAGCACAAGCTGGAGAAATGGCTGAAGATGGAAGGTAAAATGCTGCAGTGATGTGAAATTGTTCTGTCCTGGCCATGTGTACTCCAGAGAGTGATTGAATGAGAGAACTGAGATTACAATGACATGACTGAAAATGCTCTTGATATGTTCCAAAGGGTTTTGATACAAAATTTTGATATGCATTTGAACAATGTGGGCAAAGGAGGGAGCAGGGAAAAGCCTAACCCTGATAGTGGATGAAGAATATGGGATAGATTTGGCAGATAGTGCTTATATGGTCTGAATGTACTGGAAATTTTAAAACTCACAAGGTGGTTTCTGAGCCTCTTGCAGTTTTGTATTTAAGAGTGCTATGTGAGGAATCCTGAAGCCAATGATGTGTACTGTGAAACCTTCTGCTGTCTACTGTCTGGATTTATTATAATTGATTTGAAATTCTTCAGTGCCCTCTCATGCTATATGACTGCAATGTGTGTTGGAAATGGCAAGACTTAAAGGTTGCAGACAGCTGCGGGGGCTTGTGCATTTCAAGGGCTTTTTTAATATGATAGCTATCCAAAGACAAACTATGATTGTATACGACACTGCCGCCAAACCTAAACATCACTTGAGGTTGTTTGTCTGCTATACCCACTGTCAAGGTTAGAAATAATTTTCTTTTTTTTTCTTTGTGCACGTATCAAAAACTATGCAACTCCAAATTTGTTCACTGTGACAGAATAGTCTTCCTCTAAGCAACCCAATTTCTCTTTGTTCCTTTTTCAGACTAGGTTTTATTATATGCAGTTGTGGTGCTTTTCTTCTTTTTGTTTAGTTGGTTCTTTGCGTTTTGTTTTTCTAAGATGTGACTATTTCGGATCTGTATCAAAGCCAAGGCATTTCAGATCTTCTTGGAGTTAACACTGGAGGTGAAAATGGAGCCTACAGTCATGTTGTCTAGACTAGGAAGTCTCCTTTCACTACTCAGACTACGTGTAATCATTTAGCAATAGGAAAACTGAGAAATATTCATGTCAGTTCCTGTAGCCAATTTCAGGATTGTTTGTAGGCTGTCTTTGGCTTAGCTGAAGAGCTTCAGTTGTCAGGGAAGATAAAGAAGAATTGCAAATTCAACACCCCTAGATAGTCATCATCCAGACTACTGTTGTGTATGTCCAGGACTGTTGTATGGAATTCTATAAAGCTCTGATTGAATTTGTATAAGACAAGTGGAGATTTTATTTAATGCACATCTTTGAAGTCTTTTAAGATATGAATGCATCCTAGAATGCAGGCAACCTACCTGGTGGTGCAGGAGGAGACTTGGATGCTGCTCCCTGTGGTCAAAGCAGAGGGGAAGGTAATGAACACTGAGCACACTCATTGGTGCTTGAATGGTGGAAATGCTTTGCAGAATAAAAGGTTCTGTGGTTCTGTAATTCACAGAGACCTTCTGGGAGCTATGGTGGCAGATCACCTCTGAAGGTCATGTCTAATCTGATTTACAAAGCTGTGTTACTGACTGTTTTCAGCAGCTTATATATCACTTGTGTGTTCCTAGTCAGATAAGCTTTGTGGTTTGCAGTCAAGCTGTCTTAAATGGCAGACAAGATAGATGTCTCTTTATGCTCTGGCCCAGCATTTTCATTTTAATTTGTGTTTATATGTTACTATGCAAAAACATCTTTCTGACACAGTAGTAGTAGGTAGAAAAACCAAACTAAACCCTCAAAGCTGTTCATTTGAATAAAAGTGTAGGGGCCTCCTGATAAAAGAGTTATGAGGCTTTCTGATAGTAAGATTTGGGAAAAACCAAACTAAATGTGAAAAATGTCCTTGGAAGTCTCTGAAATAGGTATTTGTATTATCTACAGATAGGTCCTAATTGACTCTTCAAGAGTACAGATGTGGAAGGGAAATGTGTAGATCTTCCTGGAATAAATCAATAGGACTAGCTGTTCCTGGTGCAAATCAGCTGCTTCTACGAACGGACTTTTGAAAGGACTTGAGAGTTTACTCAGAATTAACAGGTAATTTATGGCACTGGAAGCCAACCATCAAGCCTATGACTGGGGAAGTCTTAGCAGGTTAACCATCTTCCCCTTTAGGTATCTAGGCTAAAAAAAGAAAAACCCACGATCTGGAAGGATGAGTAAGCATTATATCATCACTGATTGTTCCTCAGCTCCCACACACAAACAGGTCTTAGCCCATGACAGAATACTGGCAGGAGCTGCTGTCGGATTGACAAGTAGCAGCTTTGGTGTGAAGCCTTCCTGGAAATCTTTTTTCCTTTTAGTTGAACAGCATCATTTTATCCTGCTATCTTAGAAGATTTTTTCACAAATCTTATTTATTATGCTGCTTTGAAATGCCTGGATTTTTCTAGCCTTGAATTTTTGATCTCCCTTAAAAGCTTTCTTTGGTATCTGTGTCCTGTCCTGCTTTAGATTGCAATGAAATTCTTTGTGTGTTTATTCTCACAACACAACCTTGTGAGGAAAAGAAATGCAATTTGCAGGGGAGATTGCTAAGGAAATAAAGAGACAAAGGTGAGATTTCATAACCTTAAATCTAGTGGCTTGCTGTCATCAGAAGTAGAGATCTCTGTCACTTCTGCTCCTTTCCTGTGAAAGAAAAGACCTTAAAAATGGGTCTTCTGAGTTCTTGACTGGTTGCCCTAATCTGGGACACAGTCTTCTCCCTGTCAGCATGTGAAATGCAGATGGGAGTTTTGGAAACTGGGCCAAGGGAAAATTTCTCCAGATACATTAAAGTTGCACTGCTAATCATTATTTTTGATTGCAGTGGGGCTTTGTTAAACAAAGGACAGCCTATTGAAGAGTTTTGAACTCTATGTATCACATAATGGGAAGGAACAATTTATTTCATTAGGAGCCTCTTCAATTTAATATTGGCTTTAAAAATACTATTGCAGAGACCTCCTAGGAATGTGCTATTTGATTTTCGTTGTCCAGTAGAATTTAAACTTGCTGGTTTGCATGACTATTTTAAGCTCTACATATTGACAATGCTTCCAGTCCATGACATGACAATAACAGCTAGCAAAAATAACCTTGAAACTGCTGAAGTGTTTCACCCTCCACAGACAAATGGCAGAGCATGCTCCACACTCCCAGACCACCCTCTCCTGTGTGAGATTTGGGTGGGAGAGGGATGGAATGGGACAGACTGCTTTTTTCTGCAGCAAATTCTGTCAGTGAATCTAGGCTTTTTAATTAGCCCTCATTCCCTTCGCCGAATATCTTTCCACTTATTCATAAATTGAATATTTCAGAACTGAAAAAATGACCGCAAAAGCTGGCAAGCTCAGGGTAATCCTTATGGTGATGGTGCTGCTCCAAAGGCAAATGAAAAGTCAGAAGTACAGCATTGCCAGAAGTGAACCTTTATGGCATCCTCAGCCATTACAAATACAGTTCTCTCAGAAGCCCTTTTCTATGTCAAGAATTGTAACTGAGTCACAGATGCCCTGGAAACCCAAATCTCTGGAGTAGCCTTCTCTTATGGCCTTGCTCTTGAGGCTTGGAAGACCTTCCCGGACTCTGGATTAGGGAGTGGCATTTGTTGTACACAGAGATTAATCTACCTCTATTTACCATGGCACATGAAGTGGACTGCTGTTATTAGTGCAATATAGAAGAAATACTGAGGGATTTTTAAGAAGGGCTTTAATTTTTTTAATCTTTTGGTCAAACAAATGGAGGTAAGGGTTCCTGAAAAAGGAATGTATCCTCATTTTTTTTCCATCTAAAATTCTTAACACCATAATAATAGTATGTGAGTGCCTCATGGTTTGTCTGAAGCTGTCTTTTTAATATAAATGCATGAACTTGATTTTTCTCCTCATTTTGCAGTTTCAGTAACAGAAAGGAAAGGATGAATTGAATGAACCGTAACTGCCATACGGTTCCTTTGCTTACTGCACTGGTGGCTTAGGAATCTTTTCTTTCTCTCCAGTGTTGCTTCCTTTCTTCTAATGATCTCTCCTTCCTTATATTGTCAGAGGTCAGGACAGAGTTTTTGTCAACCCTTTGGGCATAAAGATATCTTAGTGGTGGATTTCATCACCTGAACAGGACAGGAAATACCCAGTGTAGAGTTTGTTGCGTGAAGATTCAGGTCACTGTTCTGTGGGTGCCAGATGCATTTTTGGAGGTTTCGTAAAAGCTGTCTCAGATTTTCACCTTGTTTTGGAGAGGTACAATATATGGTGCTGGAAAGCAAAATACAGTACTTTGGCAGTAGTTCTGTCTTCTGCTGGTCAGTTACTTAAACTTGAAATGGGACTAAGGTGTACTATTTGTTGGAGCAAGTCCAAATGAGGGAAGATCATCAGGAGGCTGAAGCACCTCTCCTGTGAAAACAGGCTTGAGAGAGTTGTGGTTGTTCAGCCAGGAGAAGGGATGGCTCCAGGAAGACCTTAGAGCACTTTCCTTAGCTGGAGAGGGACTTGTTACAAGGGCATGGGGTGACAGGACAAGGCATAATGTCCTCAAAGCTAAAGGGAATTTGTTTAGATTAGTTATTAGGAAGAAATTCTTTACTATGAGAGTAATGAGGCTCTGGGACAGATGGACAGATGGATGCCCCATCTCTAGCAGTGTTCAAGGCGAGACTGGATGGAACTTGAAGCAACCAGCACTCATAAAAGCTACCCCTGCCCATGCCAGGGAGGTTGGAACTACGTGATGGATCTTTTAGCCTATGATTGTGTGATTTGGGCACACAGAGAGCGCACCTCCTTAGCATGCATACAAGCGAGTACTCGTGGGGTGTGTGCACACACATACGTGTGTCCTGACGTGTTTGCACAGGGAGAAAGTCACCGTGTACACGGCTCTGTCTGCGTGTACTTTCCCAGCATGTCTGAAAAGAGAGAGCAAACTCACAATCAAATAAGCAACGCGAGCAGAGGGAGGAAAGATGAGGTTGCGGTTGATTATGAGCCTGGCAGCAGATGTGCTACACAAATCCAGCCCGCTGCATCGAGGCTGTTTCCATGGCGATGGAGCGAGTAATTGTGGAGCTCCGGCGCGCTCCCCCGCGGCCCCCGCCAA